GACTCCGATGGCATTATTTCCTTTTCCCATACTTGCACTAATAGCTGATATATTTTTCTTTGTAGTTGTTCTCCACCAAACTTCATCATTTCTATGCATATGTCACTTTTATCTGGACTTCAGGTACTTTTCATTTCATGTATTGCTGTCACCACCTCCTCCTCTGTAGGCTGCCTTTCAACTATCGCATCTTCTCCAACCGTACAGTAGTCTACTGCTTCGTGGTTCACCTCACGATTTAATAATTCTTCAAAATGTTTTTTCCATTCCCTCATTATTTCTGCCGGATCGCTAATTAAATTTCCGACTTTACCTTTCATATAACTACATGTTTTTAACTTCTTGATAGAACGACCTCACCTCTTTGTTTTTAAACTTCTCTTCTATCTCTTTTAATTGAACTCATTGTGGTATCTCTTTTTCCTTCTACACAGAGCTTTCAATCTTCTTCGAATTATTCTATATTCTTGTTTTTTACACTCTCTATTATCTGTTAATATTTGTTGTCTGATCTTCTTCTTTTCCTTTGCTATCGCTTGACACTCTTCGTCAAACCAATCTTTGTTTGTACTCTTGTACAAAGTAAATTTTTACAAAATATACAATATTTACAAAAGTAAATATTGTTACATTTATAGTATTTTATCTAATAGATATGGTACTACTTTGTACCTAAGTTATTGGTTACATAAATAATAAAAATGTATTATAAATAACCTAAAAAATAAACTTAACAGCATACCTTTCAAACAAGGAAATATCGCCGCCAGTAACTCGATTAAATCCATGTATGCTGGTATTATCACAGAAAAATATAAATAAGTTTTTTAAAGATTTTTGTGTTTTAGGTCGATTTTCCATCATTTTTTATTACTGATTCCTACAACAATGTAAGTCATTAAATATACATTATTTATATATACTATCAGTCAAACTTCGTGTAAAAGAAGAGACATGAAGGATATTACAACTAAAACAAAATAACAACCGTAATAGTAATAGAGAAGATTGTGGTGTTGGGTCTACACTTGACTAGCCCAACCGATTATCCATGCTATGCTTCGGGAAAATGAGAATTCTACAAAACCTCGTACCACCATATAAAATACTTCTCTTTCCAAATAATAGTTCAGAATAAAGTATCAAGTAAATATTAGTTGCCCAAGTCACAGTTGTAACTGTAACGTGACTAACTTGATTAAATTAAACTCTCAAATCAAATATTAATTAAACCAGACCGTGTAGTATAGAAGAGTAATTAATGAAATAGAACTAATAAATTACACCGGAAATAAAAAAAGTCAATATAGGTATGGTAATTATTTCTGTTAATAGTCGTGAATTGCATGTTAACTATATTGGAGTGAATATGTGGAGATAAAATCACTTATAGAATATATAAACAAAATATCATTTAATAAACACAGAAAGACACGCTATAGTAACATTGACGTAAAATTAACAAAAAAAATTCAGCGATGGCCCTTAGACAATGTAAATCAAATATCAGATAATAACGCTATACTTCTGAAGCTATTTTCTTGTGGCATTGTAAATTAATTACTATTTAACTGGGAATAAGCCACAATTAAAGATAAAAATACGTTTATTGACGTTTCAATTTCCACTTCGGAAATCGTTCTCAAAATACCGAAGTGGAAATTGAAACGTCAATAAACGTATTTTTATCTTTAATTGTGGATTATTCTTTGCTCAACAACGAAAACATCTATGATACAATATATAAGGTAAAAGGACCTTAGAGAAAAGGCACCAAATTCGAGACACTTTTTTTGCAAAACAAATATAAAACAAATATTCAAAAGTTTTTAAAACATTTATTTTGAAAACTTAAATTTAATGTTTCTAGAACACAACAAAAAAAATAAAGCGAATAAAACATATACTTTTGCAAAAAATACATTTATTTTTTTTTGGGACATTTAATATTAAAAATAAGAGGTGCCCTAATTTGGGATAGCCAGGTATCTAAACTTGAGACAGGTACCTTAATTTGAGATACTATTCAACAAAGCCCTTTCCTTCGCAAAAAAGGCAAATAAATGTGCCGGACTTTATTTCGCCAGTCTTCATGTTCCCACCTGCCACATTCGTAACACTTTGCCCATCGTTCGCCATACCTATCGTCGGAAAATTTGCCGGTCTAAAATAAACATTCCGCCTCGTTTTCTCCACTTTCGTTGGACGACGAATCAGCTAATGAAAAGTCTTCACTGCTATCTGAGCTTGAACTTGAAGAAACTTTCCGCTACTTTCTTGATGTTTTGTTTTTTGACGTAGAATGTTGACCTACGTCTTCATCTGCTATTTCTTCTTCGGGCGTTGCTATTTTGTTTTAATATAACACCTTCTGTTGAACTGTATTTCTGGAGCAAATACACAATCCAAGTTTGGCTGGGGTACTGTTTTTTTTTTGCTTTTTTCTTCTGCAAACTTTGCTCTAATTCTTCTTTGTAGGGTGTTGATGAGTGTAGAGTAAGCAAACAAGTTAATTACTATTAAACTGGGAATAAGCCGCAATTAAAGATAAAAATACGTTTATTGACGTTTCAATTTCCACTTCGGAAATCGTTCTCAAAATACAAACAGTAAATTAAACAAATTTTGTTTTTTGTTACATAGTGAAAAATTCTTCTAATAATTTAATTTTATCTGACTCATTTATATTGACAATTCAGACATACATCATGCAGATTTTAAAGTAGACGACTTTAAAATGATATTGCCAATATTGTTGAGTTGCGCTCCTGGGACGACTTTACTTATAAAATAGTTCATTCGATTACATGAAATCAACTTTAACTTGAGAATATCCGTCAGAAAAAAATAATAGCATGTAATTCGTCTTTAAAAAGACAAACACATGACATGATGACAGTAAAATTCTCCTGTTAGTGATTCCATAGTAAATTATGAGGGAAAAACCAGGAAAAAAACCTCATAACACTATCCCGACATTGTAAGTATTTGTTCGTGAATTTAGTTTACCTTCAACAAACATCAAAATTCTGATTTTATATGTTACGTTATTTAAAAAACATAAATGATATATCCTCTATATGTTACTGACTTACTAATACTGGTATTTTCTTATTAATAACTTCCTCTTTCAATATTGGTAACCAGATCCTACTACATTCTGCCGAGGAATTTGCGACACAATTTGGCATAATTAGAGCCGCTTCTTTGATTTTTCTTTTTTTACCATCCGTTTCTTTTAGGACTACATTTGAATTATTCCATTGAACCCTATGTTCATTATCCCATGCGTGTTTACAGATTTGAGATCTATCAAATTCTCTATTTTTAATATAAGATTGATGTTCACTTATTCTAACATTTAATGGCCTTGATGATTCACCTAAATAAAACTGATCGCATTCACAAGGTATTTTATAAATGCAATTCTTTGTCCTTTCTTGTTCATTGTTAGGTTTGGTTTTGGACAAAATAGATCTCAACGTGTTTGTTGTTTTGAATGTTGTTGAAATGTTGAATTAAAGCTGTAAATACCTCGATTGTATATGCAGCAGTAGTACTGGTAAGACTTTTTATAAACTTGATTTGCTATTATCTGTTTAATCCTTTACTATACATCCACAAGTTATTTACCCATTTTTAATTTTATCCGTTATTCTTTCTCAATTAAATAAACTTTTTGACAAGTGAAGTTGAAGCTAATTTTCATTAATATAAACAGAAATATTTCTTACGCTATTTCATATTTTTCCATTTTGAAACTGTCTTTAGTCAAACAAACTTTGAAAAAAAAAGTAAATCCTAATTAATTGTATATAATATTAAAAACTTCTCTAATACTTGTATTTGCTCACATTTATTATAAGGCTATTCGTAATAAACAACCTCATTATAAATATATCAGAAAAAAATACAATAACATTAAGTATGGTAAGGGTAGATCAATAAGAGTATGTACTCTTAAAAGAAATAAGCTTACATAAGCAGATATTTGTGGTTCTAAAAAGAACCGTTTTTTAATATGTCTTTGATTTGTTTATGTCCTTTTACCCCTGATTCTCAATTCTCCTGGCTAGCTGAATGTCCTTGGGTATAATAGTGATTCTCTTAGCGTGAATAGGGCATAAATTGGTATCTTCAAACAAAGCTACCAAATATGCTTCACTCGCTTCCTGTAAAGCCGTAACTGCCTAACTCTAAAAACGTAAATCTATTTTAAAATCAAGACAAGACGTTGGAATTGTAGTTTTCTGATAAGTACGGTACCTGGCCTGTAACGATGAGGTTGTTACTCCTCCAGTGGCAGGTGCAGTCTTACGAGCAGCTTTGGTTGCTAACAAGTTACGTTTTGCTTTACCACCAATGAATTTTCGGGCTGTTTGTTTTATACGTGCCATTATTTCTCGCGTATTCTGAGCTTAAAAATTGGGTCTTGCCTTTGCTATTTATATTTAATTTATAACATGTGGGTTCATAAGAGAGGGGCAATCTTAATTGTTATTGATCGACTAAACAATTTTGAATTGTAAATATGGTCGGTAAATTTGAATATCATTGGTCGGTTTTCCATTTGGAGGCGTGTCAACGATTGAAATTACGGAAATAAAGGTTGCGTCCATAGCTGCAAAGACTTCAATAATTCAAGAATGTCGAAAATATTTGTATCGTAAAAATGACTGGACGTGGAACTTTATTACTATTTTTATGGTTAGTAATATTAATATAATTACTATTTAAATGGGAATAAGCCACAATTAAAGGTTAAAGTACGTTTATTGACGTTTCAATTTCCACTTCGGAAATCGTTCTCAAAATACAAACATTGTTTGTATTTAGGTAATAGAAATAGAAAATCTTGCTAAGTGAGTGTAGCATTTTTTTATTAAAAACGTTTTTAATTTAGAAACGGAACTGGGATGTTCTTTTTTATTCGATACATCCTTGGAAAAAGGATTTTGGTAAATTGGGAAACAGGAAATCATTAAAACAAACTTATTCTTCTAGCGAGTTTTAATTATCTTACAAAATACACTCGACTATTAACTTTTGGTGTGAGTCTTCATATGTACTGTAAGATGGTGATTTCTTCTGAAAGATTTACCACAACTTATACACAAAAAAGGTTTCATGCCTGTGTGAATGAGTTTATGTTGCTTAAAATTTTTGGGATCTGAGAAGCACTTTTGACACTCATTGCATTTTAGTGGTTTTTCACCTGAAAATAATTATATAGATATACATAGACATACATAAATCTTTTTATAATAAATATTTTTTTTACAAAATGCATTGCTAACATTCAGCACAAATCTTTAGAAAACAAAAAAGAAAAATTACAAAATTTTCTTTTCTAAAAGAAACAAATTCAACGAATCGTTTTAACCCATAAATTAAGTATTTCCACGTCTGCTTCTAATAACCTACTTACATTTGCGATTTAAACTTAAAATTAAAGATTTTGAGCGATGTTTTGGTCGGTCTAGACTCTAGACCATTCCAAAGTTCAACCAGAAGTCGCCCCAAGTCGTTGGGTTTAGATTAAGATTATAATAATTACCTTCCAAGCATATCCCAGATATGTTCTATGGGATTAAAGTCAGGACTATGTGCTAGCCAGCCTATTAACACAAACTTTAAGCCAATATAAGAACATGATCCTGAATAATGTTCAATATTATTTAATACCACTACTTCCACCAAATAAAATGGCATTCGTTGTGTTGGATTGTGCACATCGTTTATCTGACCTTCTAAAAACACGAACTCGTTTATCACTTGTATGCAAGCAAAAGCGTCATTCCTCGCTATCCACGGAACTCGTTCCCAATTGGTATCTTTCCAATTCACATGCTTCCTGCCAAAATTTAACCGTGTTCTATGATGATCTCTTGCTAACGCTGGACCTAATGATGAAGAAAATTTCCACTTTATCTTTACATATTACCACTGTGCACACAATTACGAAGAGCAGCGAGGACCAACTCTTTGGTTGCATCAAGAAGAGCAATATAGAAAGTATAAATACTCCTTGGTACACTAGGAATGGCTATATCGGAGAATACTTAAAATCCTGTGGACTGTCCAAGTCACAAATGAGGAGGTCCTCAGAAGAATGAATAAGAACCGAGAGGTACCACCATCAAATCTCGAAAGTTACTATTCTTCGGACGTATTATGCGAAATGAATCCAGATATGCTCTCCTTCAAGCCATCCTGCGAGGAAAAATATATGGAAAACGAGGTCCAGGAAGAATAACATTTTGGTTAAAGAACCTCAGAATCTGGTTCAATACAACATCTGTGCAGCTTTTCCACGCTGCTTCAGATAAGATAAAGAATGCCATGATGATCGCCAACATTCGTAACGGATAGGCACATCAAGAAGAAGACACTAGGAATAGTAACTTGCATAATCACCTGGTTATGGTAGTTAAAATCATCAAGAAAATGAAGGAAAGTCATGAACAGCGACTAAATAGCGTTATCTATACTATATTATTAAATTAAACTATTTCCAGACTGTGCTCATGCGTTCTATCATACTACCTATTATTACCCACCTGTATGCTTTCTCATATGTATGTTGCAATAAAATGTCGAAGAGAACTTCTTAGGGCAATATTTACATCGATATGGCTTTAAATCTAAATGGGTTTTCAAATGTTTGTTCATGCCTGACGAATGGGTAAATGTCTTGTTACAAAATTTACAAGAGTATGGTTTGTCACCAGAATGAATCCTCAAATGTGACGCTAATAGACTGCTCGATATAAAGCTGAAATTAAAAATACAACAATGATTGCAAAGAAACAAAATTTTCTAGTTGGACGATTTACATAAAATAAATATTTCAATATACTCCAGTTACTGAATCTCTAAAAAGCATAAGCAGAAGTTGATATACATACAGGACGGGACATTTGAACTACTCTGACGTCACTGTCGGTAAGCGTTGAATCTGCATTACCGGCTGAGCATGAACCTTAGCCAAGACCAGAACCATTTGTCTACTGTCAATTCTTCTTCTTTTTATTATCTAATGTCAACTATCAATTTTTCTTCGTCTGTCAACTATTCTTCTTTTCCGTAGCTAATGTCAGAACGAAGCCACCGACCAATGGGAACAAAGCCCCGTCCACATTCTTTCCTAAACCGCTCCGATCATGCCAGCGCTTCGTGACGACGTCATACTTTGACTGCTATCCGCTAATCATTTTAAATTATATTTTAATTTTAATTAAATCAATAAACAAATAACATTAAACAAAACGAGTTTTCCTCACGGAGTGAGGTAAAGTTAAGCACGAGTACCGCTAAGCCACGTAGCTGTTTACTTGCCACAATGACGTCAGAGCAGTTCAAATGTCTCGTCCTGTATGTCTCAACTTCTGTTATCATCTGCTCAATAATAAAAGAAAAGTTGTTTACCTTTTATTACAAATCGTACAAACGTACGGCTTCTCGCCATTATGTCTGCGAATATGAATAGTCAAAGATGAGGATTGCTTAAAAGACTTCCCGCAGATTGAACAGAGATGCGAATGGTTAGTAGATTTGTTATTTTCTTCTTTGTAAACAATAACTTCTTTATGCATTCGCATATGTAAAGCCTTTGTTCCCGATTGTGTAAAGGAACGATGACAAATCGGACACGAATGAGGCTTTAAACCCGTGTGAGTAGTCATATGCCGTTTAACACTTGAATACCTGGAACATATTTTTAAAAATCATATATTATGTGACAAAAACAACGATTTTGTTGTTCATTTTGCAATAACTATTTTATTTATTATCCGATTTTAATTTAACATTTTTCATTTTGTGTAGGGTAGACCGGGGGAATCCCGACATACGGGGCAAAACCGACACAGTGAGTTGAATTTTTAATTGAAGACGTCACTGTATAGTGTTGCTGCTTAGCGAGTGACACCACACCACAGTTAGCGCTCAGTTACTTTCTGTCATCCAAGGAAACTAGTTATTTTATTCTGAATTGATACGTGTTTTGTTAGTTTTTGATTTAAGTATTATGAAAAATTAATCAATCTCATCCCAGAACTCTGTGACTCATCCAGGATTTGGAATATGGATGAAACAAAAACTGAAACTAACCAAGCCAAGAACCTTCTCGTGTGATTTCACAAAAAGGCCAAAGACAAGTAGCAGCTGCTGTAAGTGGTAAGAGAGGAACTCTGGTTAATACAGTTTTGTTTATAAATGCAGCTGGAAATACAATACATCCTGCTCTAGTATTTCCAAGAGTGCACTTCAAGAGCCACATGATAAATGGAGCACCAAACGGGACCTTGGGTTTGGCTCATCAGTCAGGTTGGATGACCACTTCCAATTTTGTTCATGTGATGCAGCACTTTATAAAATGTTCAGGTTCCTCTGAAAAGAGAAGAACGCTTCTAATTTGCGACAATCGTGAAAGCCGCTTGTCAATTGAGGCAATACAACTAGCAAGAACTAATGGCGTGCACATCTAACAGTTCCACCCCATTGTACCCACATGATGCAGCCACTGGATGTGGGTTTGATGAAACATTTTAGAACATATTATAATGCTGCAATTGATTCATTCGAGACAACCAAACAATCGAGCTGAAAAGAAGAATAAACCTCGCTTGGGCTGCATTTGGAAGGATGAAGGATATTTTTAGGTCTAAGATTCCAATGTGTCTGAAAAGATCAGGAGTAGCAGACGTTATTGAAAGGATAACAACACTAAAGTGGAACTGGGCAGGTCATGTAGCAAGATCAGTTGATGACCGGTGGACAAAAAGAATTTTGGAATGGAGACCCCGAATACAAGCTTACAGAAATAGAGGTCGACCCCCAACGAGATGGACAGATGACATAAAAAGAGTGACTACAAATTGGATTCAGATGGTGCAAAATCGGACTAAGTGGAAAAGCATGCGCGAGGCCTATGTTCAGCAGTGGACGTTAGAGGCTAGTTGATGATGATGATGAATTGATTCATGGTTGAAGTCTAACCTAGGCGCCAACGTTGTAGAATCTATCACGTGTTAGCATGTGTTGGAATAGCACATGACCGTGCCATGTTACCACAGAGCATTATAAATTCTTAAAAAAAAAAACAGGAATATATAGAGGAAACTCTTCCTGATGAACCTCTAACATGCCAACTAGCTGCAAGTCTACCAACTTAAGTCCTGAGGAGATACGAGTATGTATATCCAAAATCGAAACTCAATACTAGCTCCAAGAAACCAAGAGAAAAGGGGAAAAGCTAAATAATAACTGACACCCCAGAAAAGCTTCTTCTAGCAGAAAAACAGATCAATAAAAAAAAACAAAAGAAAACCACCAACTCTAATTCTGAACTTACTAAACCTACGAACAGAAAACTACTTTTTGAAAATGAGAAGACAACTGATGATAAAAGTGGCAAAAACTCTGATGATAAAGTAGAAGAACCACAGCAAAAATTTGACAGGAGTAAATTGAAAATTGGGTTTTTTGCTGGTTACATTTGGGACTGTAAAACAAAAAGATGTGTACTATGTTGGGAGAATCATTGGTGAATGTGATGATGGGAATGTTGAAATTTCATTTTTGTAAATGTCATCTTAAGTAAATTATAAATTTTTCTACCCTATCGTACCAGATATGCACCTCTAGTGCTTCTTTATCAAAAATTGTAGCCCTTTTGCTAACTTTTTATGAGCAGGGTACAAAGCGACCGAAATCATTATTGTCTTTTTCAGTTTCATTGGAAAACTTCAATATGCATTAGGGGTTTAATTAAGTATCATCATATAGTTTTAAATATTGTAATAAATAATTTCTAAAACATTTAATATGAGATGGCCATTTTCCAACTGTGTCTCCCAAGTGGGGCACCTTCAGGCCTTTTTGAAAACGTGGTTTTGATTTTTTTTTACAACAAACAAGTATATTGTTTAATATTAAAAGTATATATACAGTGAAAGTTGGGCGAACAATGTATTTTATGAATATTTTCTTTCTTTATTTGGTGAGGTATTTAGAGTTCAAATTTTTATGTCTGAAGGAGCCCCACTCTCCCCTATACAACCAATGCTATAGCGTTAAAGCCGCGTTTACATGATGGCAATTGACGAAACAATTGTCATCACGTGGTTCCGGATTGTCGGATCGGAGGCCAGTCTCTATTGCCATGGCAGTAGACAGCTACAAATAACACAAACCACGTGTATGTTTTGACTGATACAAGAGAACTAGAGGGAACTGGCAAAAAAACAAGACAGCACTACTGGCCTACACCGTTCACACGGCGCCAATTGAGATTTCGAGTGGTAGCAGAGAACTACGAACATAGTATAAAAAAGAAATAGTATGGACACTCGACAGGCGGGAAAAAGTACGCGCATCATTTAGCGCAGGCCATATCGCCATATTGAAAACAGACCGAACGCTAGTGACACCCGACTGGTATTAATGTGACGTGTAGTCGAGTCATCTGTCGTGATTTGGTTGTTTATATCTTTATCTATCGTCGAGTTTTATTTTTCGTTTAATTAAGTCTAAAAAAACTTGGGGATATTAATTTCATTTTAAAATTAGTTTTATAAAAATTTAATTTATGTAATTTAATAATTGTTTAACAATATTTAATAATTAGGTATTAATATTTAGTTTTAGTATTTATGTTATGGTTAGGATATTTTATGTTGTTAATTGTTTTGTAAAAAATGGAAACATCCCGTTAATAAATAAATAAATACTAATTCTGGTTTTATTCGCAAAAAAATAAAGTAATTGATATTTCCAGTTAGGAAAATGGTAACCTTTACAACTGAACATAAAATGCAAATTATTAAATGATATTATTCTGGAAGTAGGGCCAACGATGTAACCGCTACGTTTTCGTTTTCATTCGAAGGCCCTGTACCATCAAAATCTGCAATTCACAACATTATTTTTAAATTTGAAAATTAACCAGCTCGTGCAATTAATGAAGAACAGGAACAGCCTAAAACTGCCGTAAGTAGTCTAACTGAAATTAATTTTCCTTGTAACAGCACGTACTAATTTCAAAAGAAACTGGTATTACTGCTAGAACTGTATGAAATACTTTAAAAAGAAACAAGTACCATTGCTACTAAAAATCTTAAATTCACAACCATTCTACTAGAAACTGTAGTAAATGCAATTTAAAATGGCAGGTAAAAAACTTATAATAAAAAAGATAGCCCCTGGCTGTATTTTATGTAATTTAACATATAACAAGAAAAAATGCATATGTTCTTTATAAAAGCGCAAATAGTCAATGTTCTTTGTCTCAAAAACATTTCACGATATTACTCTGTTAAAGTCTTTTGAATGAACATCTGAAAAGAAGAAAAGATATGAAACAGCTCTCTAATAATGATTTAAAAACCACAATCATAAAAATTCTTGGAATAGATCAAGACAAGAGTTCAAGAAACCCAACTGAGGAACTTTCAAATCGACAACCTGCTAAGCAAACAAGACGTCATTTTTATCCGAAACATAAAGACATGAAATCATGTGATGACTGTAAGAGAGCAAATTGTAAGGAACGTAGTATCACCCTAAACTTTTGTCAAGATCGTTTTAGAAATTAAGATATCGAAAAAAATAAGAGGGAGTGAATGAAGATGTATTCACTCCCTCTTATTTTTTCCGATATAATTTTTACTTGTTAAAGTTTTTTGTAAGTTTACTTTTGTTAAATTATTGTTGTAAAGTTAACAGTAAGTCTATTTAAATTAGTTTACACACAAAATTGCCTCCCGAAATAATTTGTTGTTTTGGAATATAAGTTTTTCAGTTTCTTATTTGGCTATGGTAGAAAAGATTTATTTTTATATAAAATAAATAAAACATTTTGATAATAATAATTAAATTAAATTAAATTAATATATTGTCGATTGTAATTAATTCAAATTAACTTGTTTACTAACTTTGAAATAATATAAACACGTCTTTGTTCTAACCACTTGTGCCAGTCTGTAACTGATCTAGTCTGTTTTCAATATGGCGTCTGGATACTTTTATACTTCAAAGGCGCCGACTAAGAGTGTCCTAACTGTTTGTGGTTAAACTGTGCTACGAACGCATGTTCGTATGTTCTCTGGTGGTAGGTCATTTCGCAGCTCATTGTTCTCAGTCTACTCCAGGAGACAACTGAATTTTGGGCCAATTGTGAGGGCAGTTGGCCTGAAGTGTTAGCTTGAAATTTTAATTGTTTCAAGCCAGATTTGGCTTCGAGAAACAGATAAGTTATATGATGTCAGATTAGGTCAATTAGACTGTATCCATAAAGAACACATGATTGTTTTTTTTATTAATAAAAACTTACCTACCTGGTGAATACCTTCCCACAAACATCACAACTAAGTTTTTTAGTATCTAGATGTTGCTTATTATGATGTTCTAATTCAATTTTATTCAGGAAGACTTGAGTGCATACAACACATTTATATTTAGAATTATCTAATAAATCAGTTTGGGTTTTATAATCATCTGAATCAGAATCACAGCCATTTATCACATTATCACGCTCATAATATGGAGAAATATACTTGTACTTCGTACATTCATTTTTAATAACAGCTTTCGCTTCCAAATTACTTTCTGGTAAAGTTTCTGTTTTATCTAATTGTTTAATGCTATGTATAGTTTCTCCTAGTTTTTTATATGAATCGTGACATTTTTCTCTAAATAAATATGCTTGCTCTAGTTGTGCCAAACATAACTTACAAATATACTGTGGAAATTTGTCTTCTTTTGAGACCTAAAATGCAATTAAAATGTACAACAACTATGTTATAACAACTACTTTTAGATAATATGAAATGTTCCATTATGTAGGGGAAAAGGGGAGAATAGTGACCGCCTAAGCATTTTGGTTTATTTATACAGCTACATAGCTTTAAAAATTATATTGTTAACGTAAATAAAACTTTAAACCTTAGTACATACCTACTTCAAACTCTATTTACGAAAATTTTTTAAACAGAACAAAAAAAATTAAAACGGTTTTTCAGACTTCTGCTGGTGGCCATATTTACCCGCTGCAGAGGGGTAAAAGTGGCACTGCCACTATTAACCCAATTTAAAGAATAATTAAATGCAGTCTTTGTATGCCCATTGGCCGCAAATGCTGCATTGGATCCAGAAGTATCTGTTTTTACCGAATTCGCTACAAATTGTGCAAATATCTTCGTTAACGTCCCTACCACGGTCATTGTCATCATCCTCATCTTCAGATGATATATCTTTTGTGATCTTCTGTGTTCTTATACAATTTCTTTTTGGAACTATTCGCGGAGGACTGGACTCTTCGATGCCTATTTTTCGCTTGGTTCCTTTGCTGGCTTTATTTCTCATTTGCTCTTTCTTCTTCCGCTGTTTTTCTTCTAAAAGTAACTTCATCGGTGTTGATGTCATTATTTCGGAATGTTTCTTTTGTGGTTTCGATCTTTTATTTCCAACTGAGTCATCTTTTAAGCATCCTGGTATTGGAATTATGTCAACAAAAGATACTTCAAACTTTGTGTCATGTGTCGAACTTTCTTTATTCCCCTTAACTTCCTTATTATTCTTCTCCTTATCTAATTGACTTTTTTCTCTTAGTCTAGTGTCTCTTATCTTTTTCTTGTATGAATGATTCACCGGGAGAAAAGTCTTTATCGGTAAAATTTTCAGGATTATATGGAAATATTCCTGTATTCTCAAAACCTTTAATGGCTTTGACTGGTGTGGCTACGCGACCGTATGAATTTTTAAATATTTCAGCTATTTCAAATGTCGTGATACGCTCATAAGGATGACTTCGAAGATAATTGCCACATTCAATGATTTTAACGATGAGTAAAAAGCTACATCTAGCGGTTGGAGTCAATGCGACGTGTGCGGGGTATGGTTAACATAATAATTCCTCGTTCTTTACAGAAATTATATTTCTCTAATGTACAGTGGCTACTGTGATTGTCGACGATTAACAAAACTGGATCCTCCTTTAAAGGTTTTACAACACTAAAAATGCTGGAGCCATTCGAGAAGTATTTGCTCATATATCCACCCATTATCCGAGCAGCAGTAGACTGCACCAGGTGGCCCATTTTTCTTTAACTCCGGTTTCATCTTTTTGCGGGCATAAATAAACAAAGGTGGAATATATGTTCCTGAGGTACTTATGCAGCACATATTGGTTATTGTTTGACCTCTTTCTGCACTTGTAATAAAGCCGACTCTCATTTGTCACTTTTCAGCAAGTATTTTTTCGGGGTTTTGGACGGTTGTTATGCCTGTCTCGTCTACATTATATATTTTGGATGCCGAAAATTTATACATATTTATCCAATATAGATTTTAAATTAGAGAAAAATAGGTTATTCATGATTTACAAGCATAATACATTCAAATATAAAGATTGCTGAGAAAGTGAGTGATTTGAATCGGCCCCTACATGATTCTCCCGCCTTTAGTTATAATATCATCCGGACTGCCTTTTATATACAATAAACACAGTTGAGCTATCCACTGCAACACCGCAGAAGATTACTTCATATCGCATAACAGAATAAAAGTTGAATAATATACTGATGGTAAAATCCCCTGGTCTAGATAGCTCTTCAATACACACAATGAGCAGCAGTTCAGGTAGTAAATGTAAAGACCAAGAAATATAACTGATCTAGCATGTTCTGTGTTTTGTAATAGAAAATTGACTGTATCTGAGAACCGTTCTCGTGACTGGTTGGTTCTAAAGTAAATAAAAACTGTCTTATCAGTATTAAGCAACATCCTATTTCCATTGAACCTTTGTTTCAGCCTTGCTTAGAGTTTGCTCTGCCACTGTGAGGAGTGTTTCTAACGTTTGTCCCAGAATAGCGCATTTGAGCCATCAGTGAAATTTATAGGGTTTGAGGAATCGCTAACCACTGCATTTGGAAGATCGTTTATATAGACCAAAAAGTAAAAAGGCCCCAAGATGCTCCCCTGTGGTATGCCTAATTTTAAATTGATTGGTTCAGAGTAAACCTTAAAGTCCTGGTTCTCCAAGCATACTTTTTGTGACCTATCTGCGAGAAATGATTTTATCCACTTTAATATGAGTCCCTGTACTCCATACCAATGTAATTTTTGTAATAAGAGAACATGATCTAGGCTATTGAAAGACTTTTTGTAACTTTGAGGACATTTATCTTTCCTGAAAGAAGCATCCACTATAAAAGAAAGAGAAATCTCTGATAAAACAAATTTAATTAAATTCGTTGATATTTCATCATATCCAGAGCTATGCTTATTTTTTAAGTTGTTTATTATGTGATTTATTTCTTTCTCTGAAACGGGAGTACCTCGATTTTTGGAATTACCCTTAATCCCGTTTAAAAATTGGCAAGCCTTTTTAGTTTTATTTAACAATTTTTTCAAGATTGAGTGAATAAAGAATTGTACTTATGTTTTTCTTTCCTGTAGATATCTTTATATTCAACATTACTAGACAGTATAAAAAAAACATCAAGCCTGAATTTACAATGTTTTATATCATCATTTTTAAAGTACTTTTGTGATTTTTTTATTTGTTGCATTTGTTTATTTGAGTGGAAAACATTGTATAAACATTTTCTGAACTAAATTCATAAAACCATCCCACTGCCTATCTACCTCTAATGTATCAAAAACAGATACCCATTCTACATTACCTAACATAGATTTTAAAAAATCTTTATTTTCCTTACAAAATATTCGGTTTTTTTTTTATTATATTTGATTAATACTTATGATCAAGATCAAAAACGTATTATGATACCCACCAGAATTCTGCAAAAACATAGCTTTCAACATAATAATATGCCATATATTTCAAGTGTACAATATGTTGATACCAAAGATCTTTTTCTGATTCCAAGAAATCATCCAGTGGAGACAAATACATGAGTTTCACAAAAACAACATGCAATAATAATAACAAGCACCCCACAAAAGGAAGCATTAGTACAAAAAGTAAATGCTAAAGCTACAACAATCATGTCAAAAAATAAAGAAAATCCAAGTTGCTTGTTTCTAAATTTGTCAAATTTTACAATAAAATTAATTTTTTCCTTACAATAGTTTTTTATTGTTTGTGTTTAATGTAGATATCTCATAGTATTTAATTATTTTTAATTAACATGGGATTAATGACAAAAGCATGGGATTAAAGCAAAATAAAATAGAAAAAACGGACTTCTTCAATATTGGTGCAATGAACATAACCTCGTTGATATGTTTGACGTTAAATGTAAGCTTAATATACGTCAGTGTTGCCATATACTCAAATATTTCCCACTCTCACATATAAAATTATTGGCAAGATTTATATTATATGAAATGAAAATGTAAAATTGAAAAATACATATATAATTAAACAAAAATGTGAAAAATATATATATTTTTACCTATACATAGGTATATAATTCATTAAAATTATACCTATAAATATTATAAAATAAAATTATATCTTGCATTTCTACATTTAAAAATACTTATATAATAAAAACCATTAAAATTATGCTTAAAAATTAATAGTTTAGAAACTTTATAAATTACAGAATAAAGTAAAGTTAAATGAAAAAAAAATTAGGTTAAACAAAAGTATTTAGCTATATTTAAAATAAAAAATACTATTTTATGAATGCTTTTTAATATGAATTCAAAAATTGTGGCTGTGGCGTGTACATTTTTACATTTTACAGAAGTAAAACACTTCACATTTACCTAAGTATATACCTAAATACAAATGTGAAGCATTTTACTTCTGTATAAGTTTTTTAAAGCATGTATAATTTCGTCAAAGTATCTTTCTATTTTAAACACTCCTATACTTTATACAAAAAAAGTGGCAACACTGTGTCACACAAACATATAGCTGGATGCCAGGTTATGTTCATTGCACCAATATTGAAGAAGTCCAGAAAAACTATCTAAAAATTTACAAAGAAATAAGTATATTATCAAACACTAACAACATAAATAATTTAAATCCAGAAATACTTTATTTTTCTATAAATACCTGAAGTAAGGTACATGTTTCTAAAATATAAGGAATGGACAGTTTTTTATTTTTAACATTTATTTCATCAAATATAGAAGAGAGTTCTTTATTTGAATGTAAACATGTTCTGCAAATTATATTTTGGGTATCCATTTTGACATTCATTCACATATTGTCAAAACAGCATGTATTTGGCTAAAAACACAACCACACAACATAAAAAACCGGCGCGTCTATCTTGACAAAATCACAAAGAAAACAGCAGTGCGATTGCTCATATCGTCCGTTTCCAATCTACTTGTTTCTTTTCTGCACTCATACTCTTGACCAATCCATATTTCGGACAAATCTATGATTATTCAATAAAATGTTTTTTTTTTGTAGCTTGTCTTTGTATTTATCTTAATCCAAATATAAAACCGATCTATGGCAATAACCAATAGGGAACCTGTATTTATTTTACACGTCAAGGTTATAACGATGCAAGGTGAACAGCGATGCAATTGCTAAATTGGTCGCTTTCAATCTTCATTCCAAAACTTTGATCTATTATTTTATTTATGATTTTAATTTCTAGAATATGTTTATTTCCTTGTTTAGAAACCTTAATTCTAGTGATAAAAAAATTACTGCTAAATAATCATAAAACCACATAAATTTTAAAATCACTCAAGCAAGCAACAAGAGTTTTTGAAACTTTTAAGAAAATTATTCGTATCGTTCTATCGTTTAACAATTGATTAGGATTTGAGTAACTTTTGAACCTAAAGAGTAAGCAATATGTATATTGTTTAGAACATTTATAAGAAAATATACTAGCGGCTTTATAAAAAGATGAGTTGTATTTTCTGAGTGTGTTGTCGTCATAATACCATATCATTATACAAAACTTAATTTTTTTTAGATAGTAGATATATTTTTAATTAAATAAGAACAATACTAAGTAAAATATACATGAAACTATTTACTTTTAATAAATAACACCAAAAATTTAACTAGATATTTGATGACGTCAGACGTCACAACTAATCGGTGACACCTTTCAGAAAACCCATACTCACCTTGAATAAATTGACACATTTCTTCTTAACGTCGAGTGTGTAATCAATCTCAAGAAACTCATTTATGTCCTTTTCTAAATAAATGAAATAAGAGGAAACAAAAATTGGGAGGTAAAACCGTATCAAGAACGGATCACGCCCGTTGTCATTTGTTGTTATTTGGCATGTTGACAAGGCAGTCTAAGTCCAAAAATATTTAATGATAAAAGTTTGTTTACGTATAAATAAATGTTTAGTGGTCAATTCCGAACATCTTAAGGATTTCCGAAATCCTGAATAAAGGTAGATTGTTTTCCAGTAGTTTTGAGGTTGGCGGTGTTTAGTATTTCCATTTTGTCAGCTTGTAGCTTTTTGGGGTGTCAGAAATCTGTTAATATTACTGGCATTCTTTTCCACTAATAACACATGTTTCTCTTAAGATGCAGTCTCAGCTTGAAGCAGCATTATTAGGTCAAACTTCTCAAAGCAATAACCAAGATGTGGATGAAAACAAAGACAATAATTCTGAAGGGAAAGAAAATGAAGAGATGGAAGAAATTGAGGTTTCTTTTGTTGATTTTACTTGATTGAATGTATTTTTGCATGGGTTGAGTATTTTTAATTTTCTTACTTTCTTTTTATTTTGGCTGTATATAGTTTTTGCTTTAGTAACATAAATAGATTTGCATGTACTGATGGCTTTGTTCTACTATAAGAAGCTGCAGTATATTAGCTCTGTAGAATTCTGCTCAATCAGTTATGAACACAGTAAGTAATATTTTTGATTCCCAAAAAGTAATATACATACATAGAATAAGAAGGATTTTAGGGAAGCCTTTGGGATTACTTTGTGATTTAACCACTATTATATATTTTATAATTCTCTTCTCGTGGGTCTTTTTACATATTTGTTACCATATCCCAACATTGATTATTAGCTTTGGTCACCATTTAATATGTAATTTATTTAATCAATTTACAAATATCTTTCATGTGTGTTTTTTGCTAACAATTTTCTGAGTTTTCATTTCCTGTTTACATGGATGTATATTTTAAAACCATTGAATTGATTAAGTGCTTCATTATCATCATTTTGGCTTTACAACCCTGTGTGGGCCCTAGCCTCCTCAAGAATTCTCTTCTAGTCGTCCCTATCCATCGCCTTCCTCCGCCAAGCATATATTTCCATATTTATCATATAAATCCCGCACTAGCAGTGTGATATTTGTTGAGTAATGTTTGTATTTTGAGAATGATTTCCGAAGTGGAAATTGAAATGTCAGTAAACATACTTTAACCTTTAATTGTGGCTTATTACCATTTAATTAGTAATTGATTTAAAATGCCACAAGAAAATAGCTTCAGAACAATATTTCTAAGAGTAATTCCAAATAGATAAATTAAAACTTTTAAGCAAACAGGCACATCCTCTATGGCCCCATCAACTTTTGTTCTATCATTATTTTCATCATTATGGACACCTTGGTTCAAGCACAGTTTTCACTTTTGCATGGAAATCACAACAATCATCCCTGAAAGAAAGAAATTTTGTTCTGCCAAAGTCCCCAGATCATTAAAGTAGCAAATCAATCTTTTTCTTTCACATTATGTAATTTTATTAAAACATTATTATTTGAGTCAAGTACACTTACAGTCTGGACCTGTTTCGTGTGTTAACAGCCTCAATTCCTTCATCACGCTGTTCATTCTTCTCGTCTTTTTCCTTTTTTTTTTGTACATTTTGTTGATATCTATTCCAATTCATCACCAATTTCACCCAAATCACAGTCCATATGTCTAACAAAACAAATATTAACTAAAAAACATTGAGGCAAACAACAAAGCTCCAGAGCTTGAACAAAATATGACAACAGAATGATAATGGCCTCCACGAACTAAACATTCTATAAAGCACTAGCATTGTGTGTGGATTGCGAGGTTTTAAAAGGAATTTTTATCGTTCTTTCCTCTGTGCCTCTAGTTAGTAAATCGTTTTTAAGGCGATTCCCATCGTTATTTCCCCTTGGCCGTCCATAGGCTAATAATCCTCTTTCTAAGCTATCAGATGGCGCAAGAATCGCAAAATGACAATGTCAATGAAAAAATTGACATTCATCGTTTTTCCCCCTGACCCTTACATGATATTAAAATAATCCAATTAATTTATTTACGATCAGCAATCACAACGCAAGGTAAAATTAAGGGTAAAAGATCCATAGGAAGACGAAAAATTTCCTGACTAAGAAACCTTAGAGAGTGGTATAGTTGCAGCTCAGTAGATCTTTTCAGAGCAGCTGCCAATAAGGTACGGATAGCTGTGATGATAGCCAACCTCCGATAGGAGAAGGAACTGCAAGAAGAAGAACATCAGAGCCACCTTTTGCCAGATCTACAAAAACAAAATTTTTAATCCAATTTCAATTTTTCAATACGAAAGACTTGTTTTTTTAATTGGAGATTGTTAAATGTACATAATGCAATAATATTTTGGGATATAAGATTCTTTTCTTGAGTTACTACAGTCTTCGTTGCATGAGTTGTGTTTATCAGTAAACTAAATTTTCTAAATGTTGAAGGGTGGTTTTTAATTTACTTGTTTATTGCACAATTAGTTACTGCCCAATTAATACTGTACTTGGTTTTGTTTTCATATGCCACTGTACCTATTAAAATGAAGTATAGGTTTTCTCCCCTGACATAAACAATTTTATAATTATAATAAAACACTGAAAACTTTTGTTTTTATATTTTGTAATTTTACATTTTGTTTACATGTTTTGTAATTTTATTCATTACATAATATACATTCATTTTATTTATGTAAAACATTGAGCAGGATTCTTGAAGAACCTAAATTTAGAGTAGAGGAGATTTCAATTTTTGTTAACTGATTGATAACCTTTGAATCAAATATTTTTTGTTTTTCCTTAGTATGTATCTAAAGACTTTATTAATTTAATACAAATTAAACATATGAGTGTACTAGTTATCATAGATTCAGTTAATGGTCTAAGTTTTCACTCCATTTAAAAATAGAACAATATCATTTCTTACTGTTATTAATCACAAATACAGATCATGTAACAGCATATATTTCAAGTATAGTTGAAGCACTTGCTGCTGATTCTACTATAACTATTTTTGGTACTTTTAATATAAAAAGTCTGTGAAATAAAGGTCATTTCTAATAACATTGCATTATTAGCAAGTGGAGCACAGGCTTTGAATATATTATTTCAAATATAAATCAGTTTCTGTTTATAAATATAAATCTGTTTTTGAAATAGTTTAAAACCTTATATATTTAGTAGTTTGGAAGTAGTATTTTCATAAATTTGGATTCATAACCATCTGCTGACTAAGCTGTAACATAAACTCATTGATTCTTTATCTACACAGTGCATATTTCTTCTCATATTTGTATATACCTATATCAACATTAATAACAAACATATAATATAACTTATAAAATAATGGACAAAATACATTTTAAAATTTAGTTAAAAATAGTAAAAATTCGTTTGCTACATCTTTCGTTTACATCGTGGTACATCGTTTTCTACAAATATTTACACATTTTTCTAATTACAGTGTCTTGAAAAAGGAATTAAACAATTCCGAAAGCTAGACCAAAAGTCAAAAGAGTGTTTCTGTAACATCAAGGCCAAACTTCTGACTGCAGCCCTAATAAACTTTGTTTATATATATATATATATATATATATATATATATATAATATTATATATATATATATATATATATATATATATATATATATATATATATATAATATATATATATATATATATAAGGAGGAATTTATCTCATTAAATACCAAAATGATGTTTTGGTTTTTAATGAGGACATCAGCAATTACATTAATAATAGTTGGACACTATTGGATGCCATAATATAATGAGAATATTTTATAATATAAACTGTTATAAAAAATGAATAAAATAATTGTTACAAAGAAATAAACATATAACCATTTTCTCCAGATTCATCCTACATCTGGTCTTTCCCCAAAACATTGTTTATAAGATGATTATCATTACTGCATTACATGTCTCTAACATCTTGGTCTATTGCCTATATATCTTATATATTGGCTTAGTATATCACACTAAATTGTCCTTTTCAAAGAGAGACTCTAACTTCATGTTTCTATGCTTCCCTTCATTTGGCATGCTATCTCTTCAAGGGCCATGTATTACTTGAAAGATTTTACGTTTCCACACTAGCAGTTTATTTACTTCTTTTTTTTGTTAGCGTCCATGCTTTCCTTCCATGCTGGTCGTATTATGCTTTTGTATATTTTGGATTTTTGTACCTTGTGTGAGAAGTTTGACCAGTGGGGCACCTAGAATTTTCCTGGTGATGGGTTGGTTCCTTAAATAAGGCTCCTTTAATGTTATGTGTACTCAGTGCTTCTGTACGGAGTAGAAACGTGGACATTAAAGGCGGAAACTCTCAAAACTTCAGGCTTTTGAGCTATGGTCATACAGAAGGATTTTCAAGATACCATGGACAGACAAAGTCACCAATGAAGAAGTACTGCGGAGAATGAACACAACTGCGGATTTGGTCAACATCGTGAAGAGTTGTAATGAGAAATCAAGGCAGATACGAGCTACTTCAATTACATTTTACAAGGTAAAATTGAAGGACAAAGGGCTCCAGAACGAAGAAGAATATCCTGGCTTGCTAACCTGAGAGCATGGTATAGAAAGACCTCAACACAGCTATTCCGTATAGCAACCAACAAAGTCATCATAGCCAGAATGATCACCAACGTTAGGAACGGACAGGCACCCTAAGAAGAAGAATGGGTTGGTTGGGCACCAAAATTTTTTTTATGCTGTCTTCAAATTTTTCCATTAGATATACAAGAATGACTTCTCCATTTATATAGTATGTACATTTTTATAATTGCTCCAATTTTGAAATAAATCGTAGACCAATTCATCTTGACCAATCTTTCTTGACTTTATCGGCAATAATTCATAAATAGCGGCTTCAGCAGTTTCCCTAATCTCATCTGGAATTATGTTGCCTTCACTTTCACTGCTGATTTCCATTTCTTGGAATTGAAAAACGAAAAACTGAGTGAAAACACACGAATCTAAAATAACAAGCGTCGTCATAATAAAATACAAAGTTGATGTTATTGTCAAAGCCGTTACCTAGCTACCCAAAATCGTCCCGAAAGTGAAAAAAAATTGTCCCGAAAGTATTACCTTTCGGTAAGAGTTGTGTAAAATGGCACTTTCGATTTAATAAATCATACCGAAAGTTTTATTTTCGGGACGGCTGCAGAAAAAGATATTTTTAATTGTATATTCAAAGCTTTTATTTTAAAAAGTGTAAAGTATTTACTAAGTCAAAATATAATATAATAGTTTTATACCTTGCATACCAAAATAGTACATATACAATTTTAGATTTTATTGAACTCAAAATATTCAAAGCACGTAGTAAATTTGTGTATCAGCTAAAAATATATAAATGCAGAATTTAAATTACATTCTCACAATAATTTTATACCAGTAATTTTTCAACA